AAGTACGCGAATTCACTTTTCAAGTAACATGTTGGTGAAACTGCAATACTGTCAATAACGGTTACGTACCTTCACCATCAAATCACCAAAAAACTTCATTTCCCGAGCTTTATTGCATTGCTGAAAAAAGATCAAATCGTTGCCTGTCACTGATTTCGAAAACTACTCACATAAGTTATCAACTTAGTTGAGATTGCTATTGCCTGCAATGAATTCCTGCAACCATTCCATATAGATAGCACGAGAAATACCTTCACAATACAGAGAACATTTAAAAAAAATTTCCACATGTCAAGTCTTTCATTCCGAACGAGAAACCGCGTAGGTAGCCGTCCTATCATATCTTGAAGTTAAACTCTAAATATGATACCTTCACAACACTGGACACCGTTAGAAACGAATTAGTGTGAATAAGGCTTTAAATAAAAAGAATAAAAGTAACCGGCGACAAAAACTCACAGTGTTGATAAAAGGATAGAAATCGAGTCGTCCTCTAAACTGTCCATCCACTTTCTCGACCAACACACTTTGAAGGTGAACACAGCCATGGCAAATGTCATTTGTATGGAGTGCATTCAAACCTTCTAAGACATCTCTCAAAACTACAGCAACATCCTTTAAAAAAACATCCGATGGTTAATACAACGACTGGATTAATTTACAGAAGGTGAAAATAAAAGAAGTTTAGTATGGAGAAATATGTCCGAGGTACAAATATTTCACAGAATCATCAAAAGATCAACATCATTTAATGAGAGAATACATGGATACTCGCCTCAGATGAACATTCGTCAGACTTAAGCCATTCTTCACCTCTCGTCAAAAGAGGCATTTGAACAAATGCTCTGTTTCCCTGTAGGTCACAAATTAGTTTAAAAAAGAGTAGTAATGGTAAAATCTTAACCCTTTAAGCCCTAAGAGTGATCAACGTCAAATTTCTCTTTGTAATATCACTGCTTTATAAAACAGAGTGGTCATGAGAATTGAGGACATGATCAAACAAGATGAATCTAATTGATACTTCAACAAATTCTCCCCACTACTTCTATTGAAAACGCATAGGGATAACAAATGAGAATTTGAATTTTGATGTTAGGGTTTAAAGGGTTAAAAAGACTTGCATACGGATACCCAGCCAAAACCATACCAATACATTAAAAGAATGAAGATTCTGCTATTGCTGAGAGATTTCTTGAAAGTTAAACGAAGTTTTCGGAAACCCATCCGGATCCATTCATCAGTGACGTTTGTAGTTATTTACAGCCACGGTTTGATGAGGCTGCAAAATTGTTCCCCAGATTGAGGGATGGCGGGAGCCCTGATCACGGTTCATTGCCGGTCACCGAGTATGAATGTTTATGGCCTCGCAGATCTTGCGTAAAAGCAGGTGTTTTTTCCAGGCCAAAAATTCTTACACTGGCCCAGTCGATGGAGTGGCCTGAATCCTTAGTGTGTTTGGACACAGTAGACTTGAGATCGCAGGCTTGCACTGATTTCTGGTGTTCAATTAGCCTAGTGTCCAGTTTCCCTGCTGTTTCATCAATGTGCTCTACATTACAATCATTACATTTGATATTGTAAATAACCACACTTACAAGACGACCACCAAGCCGAGAGAGTGACCTAGTGCTGGAGTAAATGTCAAGAGCCTCTCCACTTCGTCTTGTAGACGTTACACTAAGCTTGTGTTGATTTTGTCCCCTGAGTATTTCTTCCCTCTTAATTTCCTTTGGATCTCCGAGGGTTTAAGACCCTCAATAGGTGTCAAAAGAGTAAGAAAACTTGACTACTGAAAGGGATACTGAAAGCCAACGTCCATGGATACCCTCAATAGGGAGCTTTCACAGCGGAAGCCCTACTATTAAAATGAATTCGCGATGTTTTAAACTTTGTCGCGTTTATTCCAACTCACTTAAAATGCCAAATATTGGTGCATTTCAGTAGAGTTGAATTCTGGACGACCTTACCCAAGTTTAGAAAAAGAAACAAAAATTCGTATCGGCGTCTTTAAGCAACAAGTAAATACTCCAGTTGTCGAAAAAGAAAAAATTAATCTTAATGAGCAAAACTTCGACGGTAAGGCTAACTGGTCGGGTGTAGTAAACTTTCATGGTATACAAATGAGCATGTGGTTTATTTTGGACGATGATTGGAATGACGCGCAATGTTTATCACGTTTTTGCTTTCTGGGAATGATGCAATTTCTCTTGAATCGAGGTCCTTGATTATACACGCCTACTCAATTAATTCAAAAACAGGTTGTCGAATACGAAATAAAAAGTAAATATTCTGAAGAATACTCGACCATCGATAAAGTAGGAAGTGAAAAACGGTTAGCGAAGAAATCTGTTTCGTGTAGAATTAATCGCTTCCTCATTTCTTATTTACCCTCCAAGCAAGCGAGACTTTATGATTTTAAAAGAGTTCTTGCTAATTTTTATGAGGATTTCTAAGTACCTTGACAAAAAAGGCGTGTAGAGGAACCAGGCAAGGGTTCCCGACACTTCTGAAGTTAACAGCTCGGTTTTGCAAAGTTTCTTTGTCGCCCAACTCTCGATCCAAACTTATCTCCTACAAAGTGAAAGAGAAGGATGTTTCTATGAAATAACGCTGCATTTTTAATTTATTACTAAGAAGAAATGCAATTTTATAGTGTAAGAACGAAACCTAGGCCACAAGGTTGGGTTCACAGCATAATAATCGACTGGGGAGGAAAGCAAAACACTATGTACCACCGTAAATGACCTAATAAGCGCACGCTCCCAAATAAACGCCTCTTATCTTATAATTGCCCCCTCTATGCTGTTAAAATTGTATTAGACACCCCTCTCTAATCAACGCCCCCTACGAGGATTAGCAAAAAAGAGCAAGAGCAAAATCATTCTCATTTCATTCTCAAAATCATTTGACCGCGACAGGATTAGCTCAATTGACTGCAGAGCGGGAGATCGCGGGTTCGATTCCCGGGGCCGGACCAATACTCAGGGTCTTAAAATAACTGAGAAATGAATGCAGTCCCTTTGCACTGCAAGCTGGTAGACTTTTGCGTGGCTCGGATGACCACGTTAAATGGCGGTCCTGTCTCCAGCTGGAGACATAAAAAAAAATAGTGTCCCCAATTAGTACGTTTGTGCTAAATACATTGACACTCAAATAAAGTGCATTCAATTCATTCAGTTTCTTGCTTGATTAACAAGGCTTTGTGTATTTCATCTTGTTGAATGTTAAGTTCATATTAGGGATAGACTAACGATGGCAACACAATAACCCCAAGCGAGGATTCTGACATCGATGTTGGGATTTGAAAGGGCGACATGGATCTCTATACGGCCTAGACGTATCATTATTGGTGGAGTGGATATTCCGCCATTTTAAAACTCTCTTGATATTTTCACCGAAAGAATGTTAGTTTTGTTGAGCATGTTACACTTATGAGAATAAATGCCTATTATCTATTGAACACCCCTACTTAGACCCCTGAAATTAAATAGATGCCCTGCGCGTTTGTTAGATCATTTACGGCATTTGCTATTAAATCTATTTAACGAAAAACGGGGAGGTAGAGGAGAAGGGGAAAGTAAGCAAAGACTTTGTACTGTGTTATATTCATCAGAGATGCATGTAAGTTTAGGAGCAATTGAAGGATCAGTATTTTCCCAGTTACCGTAAGTTACAAAGAGACACCGCTACGATAACTCACCTTCAGTATGCAAGGTTTTCCAGAAAACTCAGTGTTGATAACTGAACATTTGTCGTGACTTGTATAAGGTACAGAATCGTGGCGTGGGTAATGCTCCAATTCTCTGCCTGGTTTCAGCAGACCATCAGACACCTGCAACATCACAAAGCAGCATTTTAGACATGCAGAACACAACATACAGGATTGCTATTCATTGCAATGGAAAGAATTTACTTAACTTACAAGAAATTCTGATATTCCAAGTTCGGGGTGAGCTATTGGAAGTTCAGGGAAGTGATTTGAAGCACACTTTGCCAAATCAGCCTGCAGAAAAAAAAATATTATGAAACTGTATCAATCTCACTGATAAGTTAACTTACGAGAAACTTTTACTAGCGACGCTTCAACTCACCAAGAATTGGCTTTCTTCCTCAAACCCTTGATGAAGTTGTAGGTATATATCTGAAATGTCACTCTCCACCTGAAAACAAATCACAAAATCACCATTCACAGTATCTGTCAGTTAAGCTTGCGTCGATGGCATATAATTACACTTAAGTTATATTTCTCAACAGGCGCACCAACTGGCATTTGTTAGATCTTTCAAAGTCAGAAATTTTAAGGAAAAAGTGCTTTCAGGTTAACCTCATGACGGACCAAAGCTGATAATAGACTATCTTTCTCAAAAACAGTACCAAATTCATGTTCCCAGCAATGTAGTCAGAGCTCTTGATAAGCCACAGGGGATTACCAAACCTTGTGTGGTTGCCTATGGGAGTTTGGATTTAATGGTTTTCATCGTTCTGTCGTGTGAATACACGCAGTCAATGAAGAGGGTGTGAGAAGGAAAATGCTAGCGGGTGTGCTTTGCACCTTTCAAGTAGCATTCACCTGAGTGCTGATAGAGGAAAAGCACTATTTTGCAGGCTAGTTTCTAGCATCAGTACAGGATTTGCGCAAAATTAACAACTGTGATGTCAGACTGAAACAGTGAAAAGTTTGAAAGTAGAAAGTCTTACTGGCTACCGAAACTTATTTCTGGAACACCCTGAAATTTCCCCAAGCTACAGCTGAGTGTGGAAATTTTCACTACACGTTGTAAGTACCTTTAGAAGTTCATCAGGATTTTCAGCCTCATCCCCCTATACAAAAAGAGACAACAATCAGGTCAATAACCAAAGTTGAATACCCTCACCCGACGAGATGCATCAGTAAAACCCGCGTGTAAGAGCCTAGTGGTTTAAGAACCTGCTAGCAGAAATTCGCTACTTTAATACCCAACAATTGCCAAGCAAGATCAAGCAGGTTCTTGTATGTAGGTCAATTACCTTTAAGTATGAGAACCTTTTTTTTCAGACTTCAAAACATGAAGCTTCTTACACGCGGGTTTTACAGCACAGCTCACTTTACAAAGGTCAAAACATCAATCACTATCAAACAACAGTCCCATTGAGAACTATACTCACATAAACGTGCATATTTCATGTACTTATGTACTGATACCTCTGTGAGATAGAAGAAGTTTTCCACCTAATAACAAGCTGTTAAACGATCTAAGACAGTATAATTCTTTGCAGTCCGCTGACAGGAGACGAATATTTCAATTCAGAAGATAAGACCAACCTCCTCCAAGTCCTTCTTGTCTGCCAGTCTGTGACGGAGTCTTGAACGTAAACTTTTGATTTTTCTTCTAACGTCTCCCACCTTCTTTATATCAGGCTTAGATCCAAGCCAAGGGGTCATATCAGCCTATACAAAGTGACCAACCACACACCCCAAAAATTTAATATGCAAGACCATCGTTCACGTAGTCTGAGAGCAAGCTCTCCATTTTGAGTGGCAAGCAAAGCGAGCTGTGAGAGAACACACATGCAAGCGTCCTCTCTTTCTTGTACCTGCTTTCACGTGCCGCTCGCGCGTGACTTCTCCCAATATCCCACAAATGGAGAGCTTGCTTGAGATTTATTTTCACGGTTTTACTATTACATTGAGGAAAGCTTTCATTGTTCTCTGCACTTGGTTAACATTATTTGGTTGAAGCCAATGTCGTATGATTCTGCAGATTGTACTTATTTTCACGAAAAAGAACCTCTGTATAGATCACTGTGACTTGCACTCCCATCATGGAAACAGTGACGGCAGGCCATGTAAAATAGAACAATTCGTACTTCTAAGCAATGTTTATAAACGTGCATTTAAAATATCCTCCCAACAATAACCATAACTAGAAACAGTTGCATATTTACTCGACAAACTGATGCAGCGCAAACTCAATATTTTAACTGCCGTTGCGGCACATATTCGGGGCGGCAGAAATTTAAAACTCCTCATTAACTGATCTTCCTTTAATCCAAAATGATGGAAACATAATAAGAACGTACCAAATGCTAGTTTTATGGTCTATCCAAATCTGTAATAACAATACCCCCTCCCCCCCAAAAAAAACAATGTTTCTGAGTGAGCGTTTATTTAGGGGGCAAACTCCAAAACATTTTTTAACCCAAGTGAGCCCCTTAGTCAGGGAAAACGCTCTTTCGAGTAAATACTGTATGTGTACTAAAATGACAAAACATGTTATTAATTGACCGAGTTTGTAGGTCTTTCTCTCTCCTTACTCATTTTTCAACGCACCTGAAGGTTTCTGTAATTTGCCACCAAATGATCTCTACAAAAAAACAAAAAAAAAATATTTTAAGAGATCTTAACACGTTATAAGTCACATTAGTGTTAGCAGTCATTTCTCTGATTTTTAAGAGAATATTTTCCCACTAATTACCGACCACTTGCTGTATTTATTTAGTACCATCCGTTATTTCAGACCTTGCCCAGAAGTCACACATAAGGTGAAAATACGTTACCTATAAACCTTTCTAAGTCCCACATTAAAAGATCATTTTAGGCTTGTGAAGCCCTCAGGTGATACTCAAATGAAGGGTACATCGACTACATGGGGCGTGGCTTGAGAAAACAGCCAACTATTCGCGACGCCACCACTGGTTTCCCCGGGAAATGACGTGTGAGAAAGTAGTGCAGAAATTTCACACTGATCACGCGTCACTTATTCAGATCTGCTCTAATTGGTCGTGCCAAGTGGGAAATTTGCTTCAACCAATCAAAAGCATTTCCCAGGAGTTTTGTCAAGAATTAATGCTTTAAGCTTATAATGAAAATAATGTAACCAATCTGGCTATTAATCAATCATTACTGCACGTAAACGATGGGTCTAAGTTACAGAATATATTTTGACAAAATCAATATACCTCAGCTCTTTAATATCTGAAACTTCTCTTTCGATTTCTGTGATAAGAGTTGTTATTGCACCGTCAACTATATGTTTAGCTTCTTTATCCTCCGACACCTAACAAAAATACACATAGCATTCAAAACATATATTAATAACCAAAATTCAAACAACAAAAATCAAAATTTATACTAAAAACCAAAAGTGAGTTCACAATACAAAAAGCTAATTTAAACGTAATACTCTAAAAAGCACACAGAAGTATGTGTATGAGGCACAGATGTACTTTCTAAAGCTATTTAGTTTGGCCTTTGCATTATAGCCAACTAAATAACAGTTAAACGGAAGCCCCCCTAACTGCATAAAAAAGACAAACTAGCTGTCTGATTAACAATTCCATACTGGCATACACGAACATCCATGGATTTAATGCCACTTCAGTGGAGGACAATGAGCTACAAGAAGGGATGTAGCCAAATCAGCTGAAGAAACTCAACAGATCACAAGTACAAACACTGCACTGCCTCAAATGACTGCCCATACGAATTGAGTGAATGTGAAGTGAGCAGTCTGCTATCATCTTACGCTAACCGAAATCTACCTGACTTGTCAAAGGATACCACCCAATGCACCCGACCTTGTTTTGTACCTTGGACGTATCAATCTCTTCTTGTATGGCACAAGATAGAGCAGCAATCAGTGCATCCAAATCACCAAATGCTACATGCTGATCTACTGCTTCACTGCTGTTTCCTGACATCTGCAGAACCTTTTGAAAAAAGAAATAAGAGACTGATTTTCGCTAGAACTTTAATCGTTTCGCACGCAATTTTGCCGAAAAGCTACAGTTATGTTGTGTAAGCGAGCCATTTTCTGGTGACGAGGAGCCACAGGGCCGGTTACATGCAGTTTAGGTTTGAATGGTAAACGGTGATTTTCTGTGTACAGAGAAGCCCAAGCACAGGCCCACATAGCGGGAGTTTAACCTGGTGTCTGTATAGTTGCGTGTGGCACCTCCCCCCTTTTACATGGGGGAATACTTTACCAAAATTTCATGTACTGACACTTACTGTGAACCAACCGACTCTCTGGAAAAGGAATTACAAAAGACACGTGGCTGATTTCTATTGTCATACTTTTCAAGCCAGAGTTCACACAGTGTGCATAAAGTGGTACTTCAATGTCAATGATGTATATTTCCCGAACTTTTGAAACCCTTTCCAAGTTTCCTTGACCAGAAATTGACCCTTGTTGTTCTACAAAAAGTGTTGATACAATACTTCATAACAGTTTATTTTAAAGTCTCGTGCAAGTACACTTTTATGAGTTAAACAAAAACACCGTGTAAATGGCAATTTCCTTCAAAGAATCAACTGCACTAAAAACATGACACTTAAACAGGACCATACCGACTGTAAATTAGCAAGAGCTGTTGTAAGCGCATCTGTGCACTGATTAACCTTTTGTCTGACCTCGGCAACGTCCTGGCAGCTTCTCTCCTGCAAAGGTCACATGAACTTCATTCGTTGTTGTTTTAAAACATGAAGTTTTAACTAGAAACAATCATGATCACAATCAAGGGATTGTGAAACTCAGAAATATCCTAATTCTTCAGCATTCAGAGGTTGGAAAAAACCTGTCCGGTAGTATAGACCAAGTAGGCTTTCTTGCTGGGTAAACAGCTTTTAAAGCTTACTTACCCAATGGTCAAGGGTCCAGGCGAGTCATTCTTGAACATGATCATTAACCAGAATGAGCAAGAAGTGCCCCCAGGCAAACGACATGTGACAGCTGCTTTCCAAAAGCTTGAATTTGAGTGTTTTTAAAGCCCTTACATAAGTATTAGATACCTTGTCAAAAACATAAAACCAATTACACATACCAGCCACTCCTCATACGCTTCAACTGTCCTCTCGAGGACTCCATCTGAGCTGCTACAGTTTAGGGCTCCTGAAAGATAATTATTAGATAGAATGTTGATGCCATGTTTAACCAGGGTTCATAAAAAAAATTGCGACCACTTTTCAAGTACTTTTCAAGGACCACATTAGATTTTCAAGGACCACATAGGAGGAATATAATAATTTCACAGATTGTACAAAAATGCACATTCCCAGTCTATTCTAATAAGGCTTTAAGGCTTGAACTGTTTGCTTCACCAGATTCTCTACATTTTCCAGTTCACCTCTCTTAAATTGATAGTTAATTATTGCATAAAACATTGAGCCTAAATGAGCACTTTGTGTAAATAACCTTTAAATTTTCTGAGCTATGATTCATATTCTGTCTTGGACGACCAAAAGGGACCAAAAACACTTTCCAGGCCACTACATTCAAAAGTTGAAGAAAAATTTAAGGACTTTTCAAGGACTTCCCCTAAAATTCAAGGACTTTTCAAGACTGTGCGAACCCTGAATTAACACTGCCAAAAGTCACTTTAGGTTAAGTCCACCATTACACATGGTTCATACAGGTTTCATTAACTTTTATTCAAGGGCTTCTCCAGGACTCGATGACAAAATCCAAGGAGTTTATTTTCTCAGGCACTCGCGTAATTGTGTCTCAAATGATACACATTTTGTACATTCATGCCAACAAACCAAAACCTGTAAGTGCAAATAACATCCTAAAACCAAAGGATAACAGCTATTTCCGAGATGTGGTTTTGTTTGCTTAGAGGGTTACTAAAGAATACACTTGGAAATTCCACTAAAGGCACAGTTACAGTGAAACTTTGAAAAAGAAACACTGAATTGTTCATCCTCAGAGACAGAGCAGCCGGTCAGTTGGGTCAGGATAAATGTTCGCGAAAGTTTTCAAGAACAGGTCAGATCCCCTGGGATGCTACTCTTAACAAACCAGTTACTTGACTTATTCAAATGCTTGTCTCTGATTGTTTTTGTGCCTAATAGGAGGCCAGCATCTATTGTGCTGCTTTCGTGATCTTCTTGTACAAGGAAGTTTACCTGAAAGCTCGACTGTTCACTGTAGATCACTGTAAATGTCTGGGACACGTAACAGAGCTTTTTTCGAGAAGAGATTTCAGTGAAAATGGGGCCCACAAATAGAAGATATGCCATTATTTAGCATGTCACCAAAACAAAACAAAATGAAAGGTAAGATTTCCATATAACCCCATACATTTATTATGCATACATGTTTTGACTCTTTTCATATTAGCTGTTGGTGAGAAAAAACAGGAAATTGTTGCATGCATAATAAATGTATGGGGCTATATGGAAATCTAATAAACCGAAAATGCACAACTCGAGGAGGTCAGCCTTTCGACTGATTGATTAATTCCTAAACACCAGAGTACTTCTAGGCTTGTGCATGAACTCTGCAAGTTTACTATACCAGTTTCATTTGATCCTCTTGTTTCATTGGTGAGAAATTAATATTTAACAACGAACCCATACACTTTAAAGGGCGAAAAATTTTCTCCTGCATATGCCTAACAAATATGCCAAGCAGGCGTAAGCAACCATGCACACGATTTCGTGTGTGAATGTTTTAATGACTTAAATCGGTACGTAGAAATATATTAAGAGAAAATCGTTATCTCTGTGTCCAGTTTCGAATTAAAGCTCTCCTGCACAAGCCAAGACTGGTACTACAAAAAGTCGAGTTTGCCTGTAAAACTCCCCCGTATAAGATCACAAAAGCAGCACGATAGATGCAGGCCTCTGATTGTGCACTAAAGTATTTTTCATTTGGTCAGACCAGCAATAAATTTGACCTCAGTTTAGGTGTTCAAATTTTTGAATGACTTGGCATCTGAATTTTCATATGGTTTAACGGATGATGCATAAATTTTCAGCCAAACCTGAAAGACCATTTAAGTTTCAACAAAAGATATTCACTGCAGGAACTTCCTCACATGAATCCTGGTGTGTCAAAGAATCGCCATGGTACACAAATGTAACAATCCTATTTCTAGCCTAATGCATAAGACATTATTTACCTTTCTGCTCTTTAAGTTGGCCAAGTGAATGCTAAAAGAAGGAAACAAAGCAAGATGTTATTAACTTGACAAATAAACACTGAACATACATGTACTTTCCCGGGTAATCCAAAACTACACTGAGCAATGAATAAAACATACAAGAAAAAACCTAGGTTATAGTAGTTTTGCCAAAAACAAAACACATGAAGAGCACTACAGGGTTTCGGTTTGTTTGTTTTTTTTTTAATTCTAAGTCAACGTACCTGTAAGGACTGTTCTCTTTCTTCAAGTGGCATCATGTGAAATTCCTTGCAGAACAAGTCAATGGTGTTAAACAACTCTTGTCTGCCTTGGTCTCGCTGTGAGATGAGGTCAGCCATCAGTTCCTACGAGCAATGGGAAGCAACTAGATTTTGAGCCCAGTTTATACATTACTAGATTAATAACACTTCTTTAAATTCAGTAGTGCAACTATGACTCTTTTCATACCAATGACATGGTGGATGTACAAATGTTCAGGGCTTACGGTACATATTAACAACTCACTTTTTCTTTGCAGTCACATAAACACTGTTGGGCTTCTTCAAGTTTTCTCTCAGTCTCCTTCACCTATAACAGGTGCAAATTAATTTTTTAAATTAGCATCAATACAAACTGATTAAATTAATGATATAACATTCTAGTTTCTGCCATGATTGAAAACCCAGTGCAAAGTATTTCTTCCTTAGTTGTGGGTATGTTTATAAGGGCTACTATTTGGAGAGCTTGAAGAACAGTGAAGAAATTATTCATAGTGAATTGGACCATGCTTTTAAAGCTTGATCACTCAGCCACTACAGATGTCCCTTTAGGAGTAAGTAAACTACTCAAGTTATTGCAACGGGAAGTTTTGGATGTTTCTATGATCAATTTACTAAATGTGAAACGATGTTGAACTCCTGACAACTGAGTATTGAAGGGGCTTGGACAACCTTGCCAAAGTGAGCTGGCAGCTGGCAGTTTCACACTTCCCGTGGAATACCTACAAGCACTAAGGCTTGATAATGTGAAATAAAAACCACACAAGTTTATGCCCTGACCTCTGACCTCGGGAAGATCGAAGACCACGTGCGGTAACGTCGAGCGAGTTGCGAGCGGTAACTCTCTCTAATATCATGACAAATAGTGAACAAAAATTGAGAAAAGCAAACAAAGAACTCAAGGACGAAGTAGCGGAGCTTAAAGTGAAGCTAGAAGAGGTTTTGAAAGAGTTAAGTGAACAAACTGAAGAATGCAATCTAAATGTCGGTAATGGCGTCGAAGTGTTGTCACCAGACAAAACCAAATCAGTGGAGTTTGTTTCGGACCAGTATGATGATTTAATTGCTTTCAAAGTAAGTGCCAGTAAAGAGCTTGAAGAAATTAGGGCAAGACTCGATAAGATATCTGAGACCTGCGACCGCATCCAGAAATCGCTAGATGCTTTTGAACTGTACAGCTACCAATTCAACATCAAGATAGTCGGAATGCCGATGGTTGCTGAACGTGAACACCCTGAGCAAACTGCAAATCTATGCCTACAATTATTTTCAGCCTTGGGAGTAAAGGGAGTGTCGATCCAGGATATTGATACGGCCCACCGAGTGCCGTCTATGAAGCCATCAAATCGACCCAATGCAATCGTTTGTAAGTTTGTACGAAGGCTAGCTAAAGACCAAGTAATGGCGGCCAGGAAGAAAGTTGGTGGCCTCAAGGCCGAAGAACTTGGATTTGCAGCTGATATCAATGTCAAGTACCTTAATATCTATGATCACTTAACGCCACGGTTACAAGCCCTATATCATGAAGCAAAGAAAGTCAAAGAGGCTAAGAAGTACAAATTTTGTTGGGCGAAAAATGGCTTTGTGTATCTTCGCAAGTCTGAAGAATCCACAATTTACAAATTCGCCGACCTTTCTGAGCTTAACAAGAAATTTAGCACGGCCTCAGAAGCTGGAGTGAACGATCACCTACAGAGCTAAGTACTCAAGTACTTTTTATATTCTGTCATTACGAAGTAATCAAGTTTGACTATTGAAATGCCTACAAAGACCAGTACTAAGCAACAACAGAAGTTAAATAAATCTCTGTTAAAAGATTTACCGTACTTTAATTTCAGAGGTAACTTAGCCCTTGCCCATGGCCAATTTAATAATTCAGTTAATAGTGAGCTCCCGACTAAACGAGATCTAGATAATCTCCATAGTTTATATGATCTGGATTTGTTTAATTTGAATATGGCCTTTGATACCAACCAAACTGATAACGATGCTTTAATGAGCCAATGTATTAGAAGCCGATATTTTTCTCCACACAGTCTTAAGCAGTTTACTAATAATCTTACGCAGGATCAAATTGAATCTAGTCTCTCAATTTTTCACAATAATATTAGAAGCCTTAATCGTAACCTCGAAAATCTAGTGACTCATTATTTACAAGAAATAGGTATTCACTTCAATATAATTGGTGTCACGGAAACTAAAATCACCAATTCTAATGAGAATACAGGCCTTTCAAACATACCCGGTTACGTTTTTGAACACGTCCCAACACCTCTAGCATGTGGTGGTGTAGGCCTCTTTGTCGATGAAACACTTAGTTATTCAGTTTTAGAAAAAACTTCCACCGAATCTTTTCAGGCATTGTGGATAGAAATTTCTTTTGTTAAGAAGAAAAACGTAATCTGTGGAGTCTTATACCGTCAACATAATTCTCCAGAGAGCTTTCTTAAATACTTGGAAGAGACTATCGACAAATTTACTTCGACAGGGAAGAACTTATGTCTCTTAGGTGATTTTAATTTATGTCTTCAAAAAATCGAAACCTGTAATTACAGTCGCGACTTCTTACTGGCTCTTCAAAGTTGTTATCTCCTTCCAACTATTGACAAACCAACACGTGTTCACAAAAATTCTGCAAGCTTAATCGATAACATTTTTGTAAACAATCCTGAGCAGGTGCTAATCAGCGGTAATCTCATTACTGATGTCAGCGATCATTTTTCGCAGTTTTGTATTTTGACATCAACAAGAGATAAGATTAAACGGCAGCAAATTAAAAAACGCGATCTTTCGCATTTCAATCCCGATAATATTAACAGCGACCTTGCTACGATCGACTGGAGTTGCATCATTAAAACGCACGCAAATAATGTAGACGAGCTATTTTCAATTTTCTATAGAAATTTTAATAAGATTATAAATAAACATGCACCGATTAAAACCCTTTCTCGACGTCGGATTAAACAATTTTCTAGGCCTTGGATTTCAAAAGGTATAAGAAAGTCAATCAACTACTGCTCTGCTTATCCTGATTACTACTACAAACATTTTGATTGGACTAAAAATCATTTTATAGTATACTTTGTTGACTTTTTCAATAAATAAGCATTAATGGAACAAATGGAGACACATAAAAAGGAGTGTCTACTGAAATTGAAACAGGTCCTCTTTTGAAATAAAGGTTTCTATCTAATCCTATCTACTAATTTCTTTTTACAATTTTTTTTTAGGTCTTCAGTTAAGAAAACTGAGGCATTAAAATCATTGAAAATACCATTAAGCCCCTCTATGACCAAAAACCAACAATAATAAATTGCAAACTCCATATTTTCATCATGAACATGTTAAACAAAACCACTTTGTGCACTTGCTACTGCAAAAGTATTGTTTACTTAAGGAGTGAAATGAACTTTCTATTTACCTGCTGCAGTGATTTTAAGGATTTCAAATCAATTCTGACATTTCTTGTTAACAAGATTGCTTCTCTGATGACATCAGTAGTTTTTCCATGAGCAGGGGCAGCAGCTCTGCATAAGGATGTAAAATAAAGACCATAGGTATAATTAAATCATAATTCCTTTTTTTGCACACACCCATGACAAAAGGTTGCAGATGCTGCTGTATGCTTAAATAGAAACAATCAGGAAAAATCAAGCAAAATCTTAATTTGTGTCAAGAGTTGCAAAAACATTTTTTTTGTTCACAGATGGCTTTTAGGTAGACAAGAAACCTCACAATGCAAATTGTTCCCAACAAAAGCCTATTATTTTAGGGAAAATAGGAATATTGCATTTCATTTTAGGGAACACAAAAATGGCCTACTTTGCAACCAGGAATATGCAAACATCAACATATGACCAAGAGTGTAAATAATATTTATAACTAAGATGCATACCTAAGTTTTTTAAGATCACAAACTTTGCTCACCAACTCCAAACACTGTAATGAAACAAGAATAAATTACTACTTTATAGAGCACCACAGAAATACTAACTACTTGTATAGCTAAGAATCTTTTGGCTGGCAAGTTAGTGTAATTTGTATTACTTTGTAATTTTTAGTGTAATTTGTATTACTGTGCATGTTCAAAAACTCCATTTTTGCCAGGCATGAGGCATTCTTAAGTTGCATTTGATGACAGAAGAAGGCAAGCAAAACACACTGAGCAACAACCCTTGGAATGAACGTTATTTTAGCAGAAAGAAAAGTGATTGAGCAGATATGGAAATATGTCATTGACTTAGACTTCTCATTCACAAGGATCATCATTTCTTTGGGTCAGGTAATCTTAGAAATGTGTACTTCAAAAAAAAGCTACAGAGCAGGAACTGGGATAACATTTTACGGTGTTGAAACATCAACATCGCATCGCTGTGTTGCATTCAATTTATTGGGAAATAAAATAATAAATATTGCATTTTTTGAAGAAGTAACAGCTGTTTGCTTCATTGTTCAATACTACCACAATGTTCCTACATTACACTTGTGTTACAGTTCTTAAAAAAAATGTTTAAAAGCTCTGAAAATACTGTTCATAAGTTGGTCTTCATATAAAAGAATATGGCATGGTCAAACCCATGTCCTTTATCAGCAATTTCCAGAAAACGATTTTTTATTCTCATGCAAATAAAACTCATTTTCACAAGAAAGGTTCAACAGGTAGCCTCGTCTTGAAAGTGAGAGTTTTGGAACTTGGAAGCTAAAAAGTGGCCTATTAAACTCATACTCATAGTTTTCTTGTTCACTTTGGTAACATTATCTGCCACCTCAATTCAAGTTTTAGAAGCAAGCAACCAAGTCTTCCAAAAATACTTTTCATGTTCCAGTGAAAGCAGCACTGTAACTGAAACAAAGTGTCTCACATGTATCATAACACTGTCACTTGTTGTTTAGACAGTTTCTTGGTGTTGCAGATGGTACAATTAAGAACAACTGCAAACAAAAAGTTAAAATGACAATAGATACCCAAACATAGTTTGCACAACACAAAAAATATTAACCACAATAAACACTACATTTTGATTTTTACATGTCCACTGTACCTTGTAGTTCACAGCTTGCTTCATGTTCTCCTTGTCTTTTGCTGCTTGAGCAGAGTAAAATTTTTGCACTTCATCAAAAGTCTTCTCCTTTTCCTAATAAGCAAAGACTAGAACTGTAGCTTCACAAAGCAATAAAACAATCGGAGGTAGTCATAACTTTCCTCCAACAAGTTCAAGAATTTCTGCTTTTCATGATATGCATGTATAAAATTAAAGCTCCCCTCAGTTGCCAGTACACTAACATAGTGTGACCGAGCTACACGACTGGGGTAAATTTAATAAAACTTTCACAAGTGTGGCTATTGTTTTAGAGTTTGAAAACAATGGCCACATGAAAAAGTTTTATAAAATTAATTGACACCTGGTTTTCCTAAACGAATTACTGCTTATAACTGCATTACCTGGTACACCTTAACCATACTTCTTAGAGTCTCATTGTCCTTTCGCATTTCTTCCATTTCTTTGATCATAGCTTCACTGAGGGATGTTCTGCTGGATAAAGTTTTACTAAAAGTTAAAGAAACAACAACTACAAAACAATGTACATGGCTAAAAAAAAAGTCATGAATGTAAACGTTCCAATTACCACTGTACTGCAAATACGTTTTCAGGATAACCCCAGCTTGTAATCACTGCAGACATCACATTTCTCAGGAAATAATAGATTTCTTTCATACACCAAAAAGTGGTGCAATCATGCTCGGTGAGAGTTCGAAACTTTAATAAAGTTGTTGTTGCTTGATACTACAGGTCAATTTTTAGTGGTAGAGTACTAAATTACATCAATTACACTATTATTACATACTTATGCTAACTGGCAGTATTCCTCACCTTGGTGATAAGGGTGGTGGGCCGTCCTGTGTTAAAGGCAACAAGAGCATATTTAGCTCATTTATTATTCTTTAATGGATGGACAGGCTAGCATTTTAGATTTCTTTGGCCTGTCAGTCTTAGCAGATAAGACAACAAGGGGAGTTTACCACTAGTTGGAAAATCAAAATAATGGTTTGCACCATTAGAAATTTTTTTATTGGCAAGTTTTCAAAATCATGGGCTGTGGTTTGAGACCATCCAATTTTCCCCCTCTTTTTAGTATGTTCAGCAGATTTGGATATATTTTGCAGTGGTTTGTTCTCCCAAAATGTCAAATTTTATAGAATTATGTTTATGCACAAGAAATGGTAGGCACCCCAGCCATCTTGTTTTGGTTAATGATGTACATGACTGTAGTAAGAAGATGATGTGCTCATGCAGGGCCTTGCCTATTAGGCAAGTGAGCATAAACAGTTCTTAACACCCATAAAAATCTACTGTAGTTTTGCTGGACAAGTGGCAGGGACATTTTTAAGTTGTGTATACCCACAGGGAACTGCATTACAGTTTCTTACTGTGAAAGGTTTGAACCCAGGAATCATTAACAGAAAACCGACACATACCAACAGATTACTGGACCAGTCATCATACAACCGGACCTCTCACAATGCTACAACTATATGGACTTTGATGAGGTAAGCGCAACAAGATTGCGACTCGCCTGACAGCCTACAAGACGAGACTGACTGCCTAAACAACGCTTTAAGTAAAAACAACTACAACAAGGACTTTGTTAGTTGGAACACTCACAGTAATAAACACTGATTCCAACACTCAGACCAACGTCAACTCTGGCCCTGTTACAACATCGACCATACCGTACATCAGAGGCACCTCTGAAACCATCGCACCAGCATGCAAAGAAAGTTGTGACCGATAGCTTGAGGCTAGTGGATTTTGCTATCGGGCTGGTGATTTTTGTTCTTAACTAGCCCGACCGGCAAGTGCTATTTTGGGGGGAAATTCAAATTACAGAAGGATTGTAATCAATCCTGCGAATCAAAAAGGGTTTTGGGTCTAGTTGAAATGACTTATACATGCTAGCTACAGCTTGCCCGAATGGCAGGCTGTAAAACTGACTTTCTTTGCACCCTGCGCACGTTTACTACAACCTTACAATATACGTGTTGCATAAAAACTGGGACAGACAGGAAGCAGTATACAAGATCAAATTCTGTGACTGCCAGGCTACTTACATTGGTGAAACCAACAGAAACCTTAGCATGCAACTGAATGCACAGAAAGGAGTGATGAGAAATAGTGACGTCAACAATCACATTGCTGAGCACCGTTTACAGACAAAACATCAAATCAACTCTGTGACATGTATAACATATTCTACAGACTAGAAAGCTGGTTTACTAACTGAGAACAAATGCCACTGAATTGTCAACAGTTACCGGCACCATACAAACGTCTTATTGACGGAATCAAGCAAAACTAAAGAGAGAACGACTGAACAACTGACGATTTGACCAACAATAAATGACTGTTTAACTGTGACAATAGACAGATCGAAAAGGACCAGTGACATTACAAGTCTTCATAGCCAATAACTTCAAGGCTTTACTGACAAACGAACAATAACATCACAACTTAATTGATCAATCAGGTCAATAACTAAAGTTTAATACCATCAACTGACGTGATACAAATCAATTTGACTCTAACGATGACTACCGTACAGTTTGTCGAAACGTCAGTCACTCTAAACAACAACAGTCCTATTGAGGACTACTTTCTGTTTTACCCGGACAATCACGTTTGACCTACTTATGAAATTTGTTACTGAATATTAAGAGCTTTGCAGGTCAGACCTTTAAGTGGGCAAAGGTCTGGCCTTGTTTATAACAATAGAATTCTTTAACCCCATAATTGACAATGAAAGGTGATCTTCTTGATATTATTATATGTAGACATAATTATATACACAGCTAGACCATCATTAGGGACCAGCACATGACCTCACAGGACATCAGAAAGACATCAGAAAACCATCTATAGACATTTCCATACAAACATACCTGCTCAGTAAATGTAGCTGTAACTAAACCTTGTTTGACCAACTCATTAGCAATGTTGCCAACCTTATCATCTGAAGTGTCAGTTAGTTCCACAAGGCATGGTTCTGTACAAGACAAGGAAAACCACAAATTAATGTGAAGGGTTTAGTACACTGTACATGTTTTTGTCATGCATGAGAAGCTCATGTACGCGTACTGTAAGTGGAACTTGGACGTAAATGTACTCCAACAAGACCACTGTATCAGACAATCTGACAAAGCCAAGACCTGTTAAGGTGTGAAATAAGTCTTAAATGCAAGTGGCTACATGAAAAACGAAAACCAACAGAAGATAAAAAAAGGACTTCTCTTTAATCAGTGTGGGTTAAATATTATTCAATTTAAAGGAGGAAGATGCAAATGCCATCTGTGTTCCCCTCATACAGAGAAAAACAACTCCATGAGCTCTCTACAAAGAAATCTTTTACTTGATCAAGGGCATCCCTACCCTACACCAACCATTTTATCAGTGTGGCAGGGACCTGTCCTCCTTGTTTCATTGGAGCTCATGGCAGCTGGGTTGCCAGGTTTAAAAGCCACGACACCAGCGACAGTCTTTGTTTAGGAGCTTGGTGCCAGTAATGGAAACTCCTGGATGTCTCATGCAGCAACCCATTTAGCAGTGTACTTGTAACCTGTGCACCTAGCAACAGGTAGATGTATTAACATTAACTTTGTGCACATACCATCTAATGCCTTTTTTGTTTCCTTTAACTTCACTGTTAGTAGCTTATCAGCAGTGAGGTTGTGTAGTACCTCAACACCCTGCAAGTACAGAAAATGAGTTCCATAACAGTAAGAGACCAGATTCTAGATTATCAGAGTCACTAAAGCTGTCAAAAGAAAGCATAAAAAAGTCTGCATATATACATGAAAGTTTATAACTATTATGCTTCACTTTTTGTAGGAAAAATACATTGTACCTTGAGTGAACATACAGTCATTGTATCACAAATTGCTTGCTGAACTTATAACATGGTACCCTTTTTCACATAAAAACAATAATTTAAGGGTTTGACATACACGCTTGGCTCAACATACATGTGTGTGTTTATACCTTGTCAAACAGTTCACTGTTAGTTGTTGTGACACCATCCAGGCAGTACAATTGAGCAAAGGGAACCAAAGACAGAATGTCGCGGGAAAGGAAGACTATTGATCGCAGACTGATCTCTTCTGTGTTGCCAAAATCCACAAAATGCACTTTTACCTAAATTTTATAAACAAGATGAACAAGGTAACAACACAAAACAGTTTTGTCATTATAAATAATTACATAAACATAGACTTACAACATGCAATAATGAAAAAAGAATATTGGCAATAGAAATCGTTTTCTGCATTTACATAGCCTGATATAAACATGAGAGATGGTGTTGAGAGAATTGGAGACAGTTATGCAAACCTGTGACAAAGTTGATAATTGGCAAAAATAATGCATTGGTGGGAGCAAGCTTTTTATGGTTACCTTTACGCAGATAATTTTTAATCGGCTAAATAACGCTTATTTCCTTACAATGGTAAAATCAAGAAAAGATCATACTATCACTGTGTTTTACTATGGAAGAAACAGTTTGGCAGAACATCTTCAAATATATTTGATATGTGCAAAAGTATTGTTCCCTTCTTGTTATTCTCATTTAATAGGAGCAGGCCCTAGCTGCTAATACATGTAAGTTGAGTTCTCAATACCGTATGGAAAAGATACATTTGTATAGTGGTAAAAGAAAACAGCCTCACTCAGGAATAAACAATGATGTCACAGGTTTGACCAGTGGCACAAACAAAAAACAGTAACCCCCTTATAGGAAGTCTACAAGTGGCGACTACATTGGTGGAGACATCCAAGTCAGTTTCACTGTCCAGCTGATCAACCTGACAAATTGAGGTGTCACCCTGATGCGTAGGACATACCATGGTACAGTCCAGCAGCAGAAATTACAAGGCAGCAGCTGGCACAGGCTGTGGGAGGCACTCTCCTCTTGACTTACACTGCCAAGAGGTATCTTCACAAACCCATAGCAGAGCTTAACAGTGACAACACACTGAAACTCTACTTGAAGGAGTGTTCCTGGAGAACTTTTCTGATAATGAGAGGCCAAGGGGATTCTTGGGAGTTTTCCGATTTGTTCTTGGTAAAGTGAAGGAGAGTTTTACAGGTGTTACAGGAGAAAGGGGTTATTGGACCCGGTAAGAGCAACTATGCATCCCTGATCATATCAGTATGCAAGAGGTCTGTAGCCCTCTGCCTATGCATGGACTACTACCCCTTTTCGTGAAGAGAAGGGAAGATATGTATCTCTTGTCAACGATAGATGACTCACTTGATGTACTTGGCACGGCACCATACTTCTCAGACATCGACCTGTCATCAGTATACAGCAGGGTTGTCAGAAAGTTTTGAAGTAGACGGCAGAGTTGTCAAAGTAAGCGGCCAGTCCACGGATATTTTATTTCCACAACAACATCTGTAAAGAAAATTACCAAGCAGAGGAGCTGGCTGATACTAACCAAGTAGGCGGCAATTTTCGCCGGCAGCTGGCTACTTTCGATGACCCTGATACAGTTTACTAAGTACAGGAAAACCAGAAGAACAACCTAAGACAGTGTTCACCACCTTAATGGGGCCTGTGTGAGTACAATATTTATTGAATGCCATTTGGGTTGTGTACTGCACCTGCCATCCTTCAGAGACTGGTGCAGACAATTTATTGCAAAGCCCTCTGTAGATTCTCCTACTGTACCTGCACGACATCATTCTGTACAGTGACAGAATTGCAGACCACCTAACATGGCTCAAGCGAGTCCTTCAGAAGCTAAGGGAGCATGGCCCCCACAGTGAGGCAGAGAAGTGTCAGTTCTTCAAAGTCATGTGAAATATTCAGCAAAGGCAGCTGTAGCATTACGACAGCATAATTCTAGAGCACTGAAAGATGCCAGGTTATTCTCAGGGTTCTTCTACTGAGGATTCGTCTCTGGCTTCACACAGACAGTAGCATCACTCTATCAGCTGGTGGCCAAGATCACGGGGAAGGGGAAGAAGAAAGGCAGTGTAAGTCAGGAGAGAGAGTGCAAGAAACTGGTGAATCTGATACAGGACTAGGAAGCAGGATGGCAAGCTGAAGATGAAAAATTACCCTTCCATAAAGTTGGAGCTTCTAGCATTAAAGTCGGCTGTAGGAGAGAAATTCCTGGAGTACGTGTACCTACTAGGATGAAAGAAAAGGTGCCAGGTTATGGTGTACACCCACTAACCCACCTACAGTCCAAAAGCAAGCTGAAGGCACTTCAACACAGTGGGCAGCTGAACTAATGAGTTTCAATTTCAAGTAAGAGTACTCAGCTGCCAGACACAACTCCAAGAACAACACTGAAAATACAGATGATGCCACAATAGATACTGATGAGAAAACCACTCATGTTGCTGGGAAGCTCGTCAACATGGCTGATACCACCAGAGAATCTGAGAAAGTGCAGCTGGGATTACTTGAGGATGCTATCTGTGTAGAGTAATGGGAGTGAGGATATCAGCAGACCAACGTGCTCAGCAGGCAACCTCCCTTCCCTTCAGCTCTGAAGGATCGGATTTCTGGATTGCAACAGAAGAAGGCAGTAGAAGGAAGACTGAAATATTAACTGGACCTTGAGAAAGAGCCCTACTCAGAAGAAAGGAAACATGATACACAAGAAGCCTCACAACTGGTGAGCTACTTGGACTACATTGTGGAGAATGATTTCTGCTGTTTAGGACTGTGTGTAAAAGATGACAGCCAATACTACATGTAAGTAATCCACAAAGTTAGGTCCTAAAGGCAGCTCAAACAACTTTGGACACCAAGGGTCAGAAAGAACAAGATGTGTGGCAATAGTGCTTGTGGCCAGCGATGCATGCAGAAGTCAAACACTGGGTTTTGGAGTGGGAGTTATGTGTGGTAGCAAAAGGGACCCTATCGAGTGGGCAAGAACTCTCAAAGACACCAGCCATTTTGAAGTTCCAGCCATAGCTATTATACAACAGGAACCTGTGTACTGTATGATGGGCGAGAGAATGTCTTTGTGCTGACTGATGTGTTCAACATTCATGGTAGCAATCCCAACCAGACAATAGAAAGCTGTTATGGTGGCTAAGGCAGTGTTCTCCCTAAATTTTAGCTCAGCAGGTAAGGGGCCATTCATAGCTGGTAAGGCAAAAAATGTGCACCAGAAGTGCACTTTCCTGGGGGCAGGGGGTAGTGGAGTGTGGGACATGGCCCCACCCTTGCTGGGAAATTTAGGAGCTAAGATCTCTGAAACGTCATTCCCTCTGCCTCCTGCTCAGGCCCTTTGTTTTTTGCATTTCTATCAAGAGAGAGACATCTGGGTACGAGGCAGTCATTCCCTCATTTAAAGACCTTTTTTTACTCAAATCTGCCGTCCATATATTCATTCATTTCCTTGTGGCATGTGAGAATCGGATCAGATCACAACTTGGGTATTTCTTGAAAGTACTTCTTTAATTTTAGTAAACCTTCAGGCCATTGCAGGCGGTAAGAAGTGTTGCTTCAGGTGGGAAATTTTACCAGTTACCACCTGATAAGCAGAACACTGCTAAGGCCCTCATTCAAGAGTGGTTGATGATTTATGGAATGTCCCACAAAGTCCGCTGGGACTTGGGGAGATTGTGGGAGATACAACCACACCTTGCATGAGCTGCTGAAAACCCTACCTGCTGAAAAAAGATTGCCTGCGCATCTGAAGGAGCTCTATTATGCGTAGAACACAACACCACATTCTACGACTGGCTATTCCCCATTCTATTTGATGTTTGGATGGAACCGTGGCAGCTGATTGACTGGTTGGTAAAACTGGAAGAGACCCAAGGTCAAAGCAGCCAGATCACAGACACAGATGAGGGAAGAGAACCACACATCAATGAGCAAAGAACCACAGAGAGACTGGCAAAGAAATCTGAGGCTCCCAAAAAGAGGCAAGACAGGCATTGCAAAACAAAAACATCACCCAATGAGGCTACATTAGTGTAAACATTGAGTGCTTTCCAGAGATCAAACCATATGGAGAGAAAAAGATAGAGGACCATCAAAGCTCCCAAGTGTACATAAGATGGCTGAGCAATTAGACAAAAGAGCCTACTTGAGTGAGTCAGCTGACAGGCATGGCAGTACAAAAGTGGAAAACTGACATCTGAGCTGCCAAGAACCGAAAGTACCTGCTGTACAACCACGATGTGCAGACGACAATGGCAAATTTGGGCTCACCATTGTGTTGACAAAACCACCTGCTGTTGAAACAGAACCTGAGGTTAGAGTTGATGATACAAGAAGTGACAGAGGCTGTGATGAGATAATAGCCAATGAATCAGAAACTGATTATGGACTGTCTGTGAGACCTGTTATGCATTCAACTAGATCAACTCCTAGACATCACACTAACTTTTACCACTTGCCTGTGTCTGCAATTAGACAGGTATTGTAGTGATTAGCTCTCAAGTCTTGACAAGCAGAATGGGAAGCGAGTGTGACAGGCTCACAAGATCCATGATTTGATTGCGTTGTTTATTCAAGCTTCTAAGCTAAATTATAATGTAATCACTGATGAAAAACTTAATTTCAAAAGTTCAAAACTAGCAGTCTAAAATACAAAATAAAAAACTAGAGGTTCTAGATTACTGCAAAAGTGGAAAAGAGAACTACATGTACAAAGAAAACAAGTACAAATATCATCTAAACAATGTATAACTGCAGCCCTTTAAAACTTATTTAGCAGTTTTTCCAGCTGATTTGCTTGATTGATATTTTCACTGGATGATAAAAATCATCTGTTTCCTACACAGCTAGTGCGTATAAGAGCACAATGTAAAAACAATATGGCATGAAATTGTAGCTTTTGCTCATTCACAAACAACATTAACTTATGAATGAAGACATCAAGAAGATTCTGCCTAGGTTAGCAGAGTCAATAAATTATCAGAAAAGGCAGCTCCTGGAAGTAATCAGGATCACTTTGAAGAATTCCATCCACTCGCAAACATAGAAAAAAAAAGTAAATTATTGGTTAGGAGGAGATACCTTATCCTCCCCAACAAGTTCTTTGACTCGACAACGATACCATTTTTTATCCTCTGAGTACACCCCTCCATAAACCTGGGACAAATTTAAAAGAAAGTGACCTATCAGTACAGGCACATGCATATAATGTGTGAGTTAAGTTGGTTATATTAATATCCTGAAATAACCACGCGATAAAGCAATGTGCAAACGAAGTTTCGAAGTCCCTGGAAATTATTACATTGTTTGCAATGTATACTATGGTTCAATAATTATATTCTAGGTTTAAATTTTCTTGTTTAGTGTTTCTGGGTATGGAACTGATAAAGAATGAACTTGAAACAAAGGAAAATAAAACTTCATTCAAGGATAAAGTTGAACCTTAACATTTACCTTGCCAATGAATGGTGTGGACTGTAGAAGGGGCTTGTTCCTGCAGTACACCTGTAGGTCCTCGCTCATCTTTTGGATCAATTGTGCTGTTTTATGATCAGCAGTCTTAAAACAGAAGTTTGATTTATTTAGTTACCAGATTGAGTTTGTATGATTGGTTGTATCAGTTCCAAGTTCTTGGCACTGTGTTCATGGTAGCCACTGGACCTTATGTTTACTACCACCCTCCATCCCTTTAATTTTTTTCCACTTATTTTATCCCCAAAGATTAGTCAGTGTGACAGGTGCTCATTTTGTTAGCGTGGGAAACATTCAAGGCACCCACCCTCCACTGGGCAATGCAATGTTCACTGAACAGTAACAAACTTCTATATGGGTGGATTTATAAAAGGATAGCAAGTACTAGTTAAAATGGTAAGTCTGCATTCTACCTTGAAGTGTGCAAACAAAATTGATTAATGATTATGACTACTACTTATTCTTGATAGATACATATGTAAAACATTTGTATTACCCTAGCTACACTGTACAATGTACTTTACCTGGGCCCAAAACATGACAGGACTTTCAACATGGGTAACAAACACTTGCTCCTGGAAAATCAGCCAAATCTCTTTATTTTCCAACTTTAACATGCAAGTAAATAATATATTATGCAAGCTGCAAAACTGGATTTGCCTGTGACTGAAAGCTATGCAACAATAACAAAACAGCTGGAAAAATTTACATGTATCACATCTGTATATTAAATGAAAGCATTATGCATAAGAGTTTTTGCAAAGTGTGATGTGAATAAATTATTGCAGTACTGATCAGAGGTGGTTGCAACATCTACATGTACGTAGACATGAAATTGGCATAATCTTGCCATCTTTAAAAATTGACTTAAACCCTTTCACTCCTAGACCGCATTATAGAGATCAGAGATTACTAGTTTTAGAGGGTGGTAACCTCACTGAGCTGTGTGATGGGAAGGACAACAGACAGACCACCCTCTGTGTGGTCGTGGTTGTTGTTGAAATCTGAGCATCGATCGTTTGTACTTTGTAGAAGAAATTCAGGGGAATATTACCGGAGCTTCAATTTGCCCCTAAATACAAAAAATAAATCTAAACATTTAATGCTTCAATAAGATTTTAAAAGATACATGTATGTTAACTGAGCGACATGTCATATTTTCCTGCTGTCCCAAGCTGTTTAAAGTGTTATTTGTTTTTGAAATAAGGAAAAATTAGCCACCGGCAAAACGACCACTCCAGTTCCAGCTGGAACTGATGCCGAACTACTGAATTTTTAAGCTTGAAAACACCAGCATCTGATCAACTAGATATCCTTTCATGCCCTTGGAGAGGCTTAGCTCATTCCTTCCCAAAATTTACTCAGAAAAGTAATCCTGAAGTTGTGAGAACAGCTTTCTCAATGTGATCGGTGAAAATGGAGTTTTAAACATGAGGTTTCCTGGAGTTCAAAGGCCCAACTGTCCTCCACATGAGGTTTTCAAGCACTGGCAAAGTGCACAAATACAAAGTCAAGATCTTGTTCTCAACCACTAAAGTGGGCACCAGGTCCCTGTCTGCACACAGCTTTTGTTTCATGTACTTCTGGGTCAATTAATAGCTTTGTCCTCCCTGCTAAGCTTAAGTTTCAAAAATGGCATCTGGTAGGGCGAAATGGCACAACCATGTACACAGTAATTGGGACTATTGATCACGATCCAAGTGCAGTATGGACAACCCCATAGACACAGGACATGTGATCCTGAATAAAGCCTCAGTTTTGCAGTAGGTGTCAATTTGATTTCAAAACACAACAATTACATGATTATTTTTTTGATACTTCAAATATGACCACTCCTACCTCTGGATACTCTCCATTTACAACTCGAGGACTTGATGGTTGTGCATCTACGCCATCTGTGAGCAAGAAAACAATACATGCATGTAGGTCACAGCAAAGATCCTAAACAGAAAACCCAATCAGGGCTGACTCTAAGATTTCAAGTTGCCAGGTGCAAGCAATTATTACTATGCAGGGAATTGTGACTCAACTTATTAAATACATTTTAACGTTATCCTATCACCTTCCTAGTGTGACTTGTAAATTTTCATTGATTCACGGAAATGCCAGATAAAAAAATTGCTTCTGGCCCTTCAGTATCGTATTGACTCAGTCACATGCATACACAGGGTTTTCACTATTTTTTAAAGTAGAGGGGTGCCCAAGGTTGAGTACAATGAGAAAGTTGGTTTGAAAGTCAGCTTGTAAATTTTCCTTGAAGGTGGGTACTGTACTGTCTTAGAGTACACTGGTGTCGGTAACAGGGTGTCAACTTTTAATAAAAAAAATTAATCAGGGAGATCAGGCAGTCAACAACAACCCACCTTCAAAGGAGCCTCTTCTTGGCCCGCGAGTACTGGAGTTACTATTCCAAGGAGAAGAAGAACTGACCGGTGATTTGGGCAGCAGTGGACTTCTACAAAATACAAGAATGAACATTGACTTACAAAATGATTAACAAAAAAAATCCAAACATGCAGACAAAACAAGCACCAAGAAATTAATATCAAGAAACTGATGTTCAGCTTATACAGCTGATTTACCTTGAAACAAAATATGCAATCAAGAGCAAATAAGTGAAGGAAATTCTCCAAAGACATCAAATTTCTCCCAAAAACTAAATGTACCTTGGAGGACTTGGCCTCGAGTTTCCAGTTGGGCTGGACCAGGAATTCTGTAGATGAATGAAAATGAAACTAGGTTATGGGACTACTAATGGCAGAAATAATAAACTACTAGTAAGACACTCGCATTGCCTCCCTAGAATAAAACAATCAAGGAACAGTAGAAATCAGGGGTTAATAAAACTTTTCCCTGTGCAATTTACAATGTAGCCATTGTTTTAGAGTCTGAAAACAATACCTATACTTGTAATTACACTCATAAAAGGTTTACTGAATTAATACTGCATACAGTTCTGGTAATATAAGAGCATTATTTATCATCGGATTTATCATTATTTATCATCATGATCATGACTAGGACATGGACCATGCACAGTAAATGTAGGTGCTAGTAAGAAAAACCTGCTGTTTATTGTATATTTACAAAGGATCCAAAAGACAAAGAAATCAAGTTTCAGGATAGTGCTCTCCAGTGCAAACTTGTAGAGAAGTTAGACTAACATTTCAAACAGCAAATTATTGTGGACACATGTGATTATAAGCACCATACTGACCACCACCACTAAGTCAGAATGTCACCGTACCACCCTAGTTATCTTTATAGAATCCATCCTCTAGTATCTTCCTACAATCCATACAGACTATTCCGACTCCCAATAACATGTTTGCCAAGAAATAAACCTGACATCCAATTAATGTAAAATTAACAAACTGTTTTTATGGCCACATCAAAAAGCAAAAAGTAGGGGTTGGGCCAAAGCCCTTTCAGCCTTCACCTGCTCAGGGGATATATTACAGGAGTTTGCCGCTGAGCCTTTGAGACTCTGAACCTGCTGCAGTCAGAAATAGATGAATTTGTGACCCTGATTCTAGGCAATATTTATTGTGAAAATGGGATCCTGTTCCAGGCAATAAGAAAAAAGATGTGTTCAGGCAATACGCATTATTATTATTATACATTAATTTATTAATTCCTTGTTTACATCAAGTTTTTTTACCTTGGAATTCATTTAACCTTGATAGAAAATAATCAAGGATTATGGGGAAAAACCAACCCTGTTCCAGAATCAAACTTAAGTAAACTATGCATGTACCTGTTTTCCACAGATAAAGGATGGGTCAAAGAGGCCAAAAAAAAAAAACATTGTACCTTGTTTGGCGGCACATAAACGTGGTGCCTACTTATGGGAGTAACTCCCCCCCCTCCCCCCTGCCCCACTGGGTTCCAGCTTCACCTCTTGACCTCCACAAACAAAGAGCAAAGTATGTTGACGTGAGACATCTGACTTGGCAACTCTGCCCCTCAAATTATGGGTGTAGTGTACTGCAAATTACTCTTCAGAAATACGCCCTTTTTCATGCTAAATTTTTTTAGGCAATCTAAAGACCGCATACCCTGCGAGCAGAGGCCCTTCGATCTTCCTAGATAAGTAGACTTATCTAGGAAGATCGAAGGGCCTCTGCTCGCAGGGTAAAGACCGCAGTTCTGAAAAGATAAACTTGTAAAGTAAAATTCGTAGGATACAGGCCTAACTCCCGTGTAAAAGGAATAGAGTTTAACTTTAACATTCACCAGGGTTTCAATGAAAAGATGGCCAAGAGCTGGCAGAAACTGTATTAAAACATATCGTGCAGGAAAAGAATTTACCGCCTAGTGACAGAAACACACACAAGCGTAACAAGGGATAAGCTGGCAAATCGCTTGTTTGAAATGAATTCCTTTACTTCCCAAAGGTTAATAATAATCTAATACTCCGCCGAACATTACGCGCAAGGTGAAACATCAGTTTAAAAGAAAACTGATCTTTGACATGAGAGGCCAGATATCTTCAAAATACAGATCCTTTGCTTGAGATCAGATATCAAAATTTGACAGAGGGACAGCTGCGAATGACAAATATAAGATGCAAAGTTCCAGACCCAAATTAAAAGCATGTAGGCCAAAATTAATAATACGAAATACTGCTCTACTTTAAAACCTAGGGAAAGTTTTATTCAAAGTGAGAGACACTTCTTTCTTGCAAACCACTGTTAAAAACTTTGCCATCTTACCTCACGCCCGCGCCCCAATGGTCGCGGTTTCCCAGGAAAGCCATTACGAGATCTCTGTTCCCCATCCATGGCAAGAAATGTCGTCCAAACACCTAATGCAGCTCACTTAGCTAACCTTGCTTCGATTTTCCTTGAAAGAAGTAAAAAGCGGTTTAAAACGCTGGGAGGAAGAACCGCTCTGCTCAGATATACAAGAATCCGCGAAACCTTGACGCACTGGAGTTGACACCTTCCCGCGTTTGCCGCTTGCGCACGTGTGATAAGCCCGCGTTACTAAGGCTCAGCAGACAATATTTTCATTGTTACTAAATGGGTGGGGAGGGGGAAAGGGACTAATAAATTTTTATGTATAAATATTTCTCTGACCCATATGATAATTTAATTCCCTCTATAAGCAAAAACTAGTTCATAATATCTTTGAAGCCGCTGAAATGTGAAATAGTTGTAGTTGTTGTTGTCGCTTTTTTGCAAAAGGTTTTCATTAACGAATCCCCCAATGACACCCCTGACAAAAAGAATTTTCCAGTAGCACTCATCCCCTAGACAAAAATTATCACTCGATTCAAACATGGCGGAGGTGAGAAGACTTTTTTCTTCGTTAGAGTTCAAATGTCTTAATCATTTTTACTTTATTAACAGTTTTGATGTCTTTTCTATTCGCTAGGGGATCCATCATTACTTCGATGGCCTTGTAGCGAGGTAAGAAGGTGAAATGTTTGGATGAATTTTCTTCGCGGCAGACAGGACACAGGTCTCGTGACCAAAATCGTAAATGTAATAGTACTGTTTGGCGGAAGCTTCTTTCACTTATCTTGCGGTCCTTTCTTTTGCAGGCATGAAGGAATTCTCGCCATTTTGGTTACAGACAGAGACGGAGTTCCTCTAGTGAAAGGTTAAAGTCAATTAATTTGCTTGTTGATACTGAAAGATCGATATAGCACATCAAGTGCAGTTTCTACAGCAGGTTTCAGTTGCTCAAAGTGTTAGAAATAGTATCATGGCGCGGGACCAAGGCTGTAGCCAGATGAAATTCTCACCAAGAAAGTTTAAAAGACAAAAATATCTATAACCTTTTTAGCAACATATTTTTCCACAAGGCACTCCTAGGTGCAGATATGCGCGCAGGTCCTAGATTGGAACCTCGATATAACGAAGGGCTAAGGCAAAATGCGTTAGCTATACCGAGGTTTCGTTATATCGAGGTTCTTTTCCATATATTTTACTATTACTGGGTTAAGGAAGATTGTTCGTTATACCCAGGACTTCATTATATCGAGGTTCGTTATATCAAAGTTCCACAGTATCCTCCAAAGAAACTCTTTTGCAGAAACGCCTCCTCCCCACCCCCAACCCCACATAAAAACAAATCAGCCCATTCCCTAAACTAGGTATACCTATCGATAGAGTGCCAACGAGCAAATCATGCGTATTTTTCATAGGATGGATTCCTTTTTTCCAACATTTGACAGTTTCTTGGTCCCTTCCTGTTGAAAGGATTATTTTCTTGAAACTGAGGTGCTATGCGAGTATAAAGGTTCAGAGAAGAGTCAGTCTTCAGACTCCTGTGGCTTTACGAACCTGCTCTATAAAAGTTTGAAGTGTCATTTTGAAAGAATAAAACAGCTTGCAGAGGAAGCGATCGGTAATATTTAGGGGGAAATATAAAAAATGATTGTTTCTCTTACCACTACAAAATTAGTGTTGGTTCGGTTTCACTTTGTAGATAAATATTTGTGCAGTTTAATCATTTAAACCTCCTCTGAAATTTCCCGAGGCTTTTTGTCGAGTTCCCGATTGAATTTTAGAATGATTGGCTGCTCTCACTTGAAATGTTTCCAAGGACATACAATGTAAGGCACATCGGTATTTTGTTTTCACTTTATAATAAATTTGGCCAGGTTTCGAAAAAATAGCGTTGTTTTCTTTTCCTTTCTCCTTCGCTCTAGGCTTGTAATTCTTTTTTATTCTTATTTTTCCATTTGCTGGTTAGATTTTTTCACCAACATCAGATTTTCCAACAGAAGCGACTATATACTATTTGTATCAAGCTTTCCTCATCTCCTCATGTAATCTGATTCTTTTGCTTGTTTCACATGGAAAAATTTTCTTTGCTTAAACTGTTGTTTTACAAGCTTCTCTTCATTAAAACTTTGCATTAATGGCCCCCCAAAGTAATACAATGCATCAAGTTTTCATTTTCCCCGACTGCCGGGGCCAGATTTAGGTGAATAAACAATAAAAGCTTACCACATTCAAGTTCAGTCTTCGCTTGCCGCTAAGGAAAGAACACATGTGCGCCAAGTATAGTTTACCGCCTTTTGATTAGCTGAAACTGTCACACCACTTGGTCTCAGGGGAATCTACATTACATGAGGTTACACTTTTTGAAACTCGATCGAGAATTTTTCTGCCTACAGCCGAGTCTTGCGCGGCTCTATTGTGCTGCCGCCTCGCCATCTGAGCGTGGCTCGTTGGCAATTATAGGGCACGATCCATTCAACCGAAATTTCTGGAAATTTTGGTCCAAAACTCAGTGGATCCATTGGGTCCAGCTGGAAAAGTTTCGAAAAAACTGGTCCACCTTTTGAGGTCCACCACTTTTGCCAGTCGGACCGGTCAGAATTTTGGTTGCATGAATTGTGCCCGTAATGTGGGCATGGCTCAAGCAATAAATATGCAAAGTCATCAGATACAGGCTGCCAAATTTCTCTTTTCTGACAAAGCAGTCTTGTGATGAAATGCAGTGGACATGCAAAAATGCTATAATTGGCAACCTTTGCAAATCTTCGGGAATGTTTGTAAGTCATCAGAACATCTTTTGGACCGTTCCAAATTCATTGGATTTTTCTGGTAGTTTGGAAAGTGTAGTTAAAAAAATCACATGCACTTGACTCAGGAGAAGTTGGTAGGTTTAGTATGTGTGTGCGGTAGCCTTCTGAGTCTCGTTTTGATAGTAATAATCCTGGACTTTTGGCAAAGTGAATGGTCAGCCCTTCCTCAGAGACAGGTTTCAACAAATCGGGTCATTGTTGTTTAAATGTAAGATAGAGCTATCCACCTGATAAATCACTATCCAATGGATAAGTATTAGGGAAACTATTGCAATATCCATTGGAGTTTAGTTATAAATTTGTCATACAGAAAAATGCTCCACAAATCCCAATTATAAAGCTTCTTTCCCCCTAGATTAGCCTGTTGCTGCTTTTTGCAGTTAGGGTTGTATGTGTAATTTTATGTATCTAAGTTTCTTTTTATTTTGTGACACAGAATTAAACAATTGAATTAAGTACAGTCAAACCTCATTACTACGGACACTTAGCCTCCCACACTGAGGTTCTCAGGGGTTCGTCAACAGTCCTGCCCCACGAACGTCTGCTGAATCGAGTGGCTAGATTCCTTTTCCTTTGTTCGTGTTCGCAAATATCAGTTGGAGCTTAGTGTAGATTATCGGATAACCAATCGGTACTGAAGTGAGAGTGTTGAAAAGCCAAACACATATGTACAAGCTTGGTAGGGTGTGGTATGTGACCAAAGAGTTTTCATTTGGACAAAATTTTAGGAGATAAGCATTTGCGTTTTGTATATTTCTCTGGATTAGATGTCATTTGCTCATAAAGGTTGTTCTGTGGGTGAGGCAATGGGGGAAGTTGTAACTGATCAAAAGGCAGAATTTTTTTCGGACTTTATTGTTTTGTAGTAAAGCCGACTTCCGTTCAGCAAATTAAACCTCCAAGGTAATTTTTTCAATGAGATTGTTGAGGGCAGTTTCTAGTGTGAAGGCGTGTGAGTTAACAAAATCTTGGTTGGACATAGCCAAAAAAGGTTGAACTTTATATCGGATAAAATAGAGTACATACCACGCTAATGTACAAGAAAACTTCATTCCCCAAGTCAGTGTTGTTACGTGAATTTGAGATTGCCCTAAGACAAAGTAAGATTTACTCAAGTAGTCTGAAGGCAGATTTTTATTCATCCTTTCTGTAAAATCATTTACGAGAAAAATATTCTCCGGACATAATGTCCGAACACAGGTGGGATTTCATTGAAAACTAGCAAATTTATTTTAAGTAATAGTTATTAAAATTAATTTCTCCCTCTAACATACAGTTTCAGATCCCAAAGTACCGCAAAATGCTCTTAGGGCCAGCTTTCTCTCAACATTTTCCACAACAGCAGAACAGGTAAGATCTAGACCATTGTTGTGCTTACAGTTTCTATGGAAACTGTAACACTATGCAGTCATGCTGTGTCCGTAATGTCCATAGGTAAGAAAAGTAATAATTCTGAAGGCCAGATACAGAATACTGTGTGACTCAGTTTGCAAACAAGGAGAGTCTATAACACTCCAGTCATTGCTTGTCATTTTATCAAAGTTATATATTTTTTCTAGTCAAAAGAAATTTTGATTAGAAATTTTGGGGTGTTTGTCGTTTTCTACAGCAAGCTTGAACTACAGCACAACATTGCATGGAAAATTGGTAAAATGTCAGAGAGGCCCTTTAGAGCAAAGTTTCTCAACTATCTTTGTCACTGATTGCAGAACTACGTGTTAAATGCATCTATCATAAATAAGATAAAAATAGTACAGTGAACATGTGTGTTTGATGAAGGTCAAAGCTGTAAAGACAGTCCCGTTAACTGTTTGCGTATAATTGCAGACTTCTTTACAATTTCATTTCTCCATTCCAGGCAAGCAAGCTGGGATTATCCAAAAACAAAAGCATTGTGTGTTTCTTTGCTTCTTATCAGGTAAGTTAAACTTATAAGGGGCAAAATAAGAGCAACTTCATTTTTGTTATATGTAGAGAGATGGATTACTGGCTTTCAAAATGTAGTTGTGGTTTAGTTTCTATTAAAGAGATTAAGAGTCACATTTACAACAAACGGCAAACATCAGGTTCAAGTTGAGAATTTCTCAGAGGAGAAAATAATCAGAGAAAAACTGTCCATAACAATTCTTAAGAATAAACTGGCGTGAAACCACATATTTTTGAGAAGGAGTAATAATCAGTAAAGGAGAATTAAGGAGAAAACTTGGTCACATGATAGAAATTCACGTCTGTCCTTTGGTGTAAATGTGACTTTTAATCTCTCCGTTGCCTTAAATTGGGGGATAGCATTGTTTGATCGATGAGTTGGAAACAAAGGAAAATAAAATGTAAATCAAAGGTAACATTAAACCTCAACTAATAGGTGTACATTATTTCATTTTCATTTACTGTCTCTCCAGTATTATTTCTCTTTATGGAACTATTGTTGGTTTGTTTGCAGGTGGTTCATTTTAGTTTTCCACCTCTTGTTGTCAGTATAATTGCAACCAGCCAGGCAAATACAGGTCAGTTCAACTTTGTTTTTTAATTAGAAATTTCACTCAAAGGTATGAACTTTGACAAAATAATATGGAAAAGACGACGCCTTTTCCCTTTGAAAAAAGGGGATGATGGTAGGCAAACACCATAATGTGTCATTTTGCCAACCTTGATTTAGTGATTGGGTGGGGCAGGGAGTGCTGCTCATAATTGTGCTCTTTGTTGCGGTCAACTCAATACAAGTATCCGTCTATTAAAGTATTGAAGAAAATTACCACCTCTAGGGGTCCATTCAAGAGAAATGTTAACCTTATAAAGTCAGTAGATTGGAAAAAGTAGCATGACAGCAATAGAAGTAAGATTGAAAGCAGCCCCATCTTTAGATTTAGCACAGTCTTTTCCAGACTTTTCTATTTGACAAAATAGAAAAGGTCTTTATAAGAAGCTGGCCAGCATTGTAATATCCCAAATTTCGCCACTGCAAAAAGTTGCTGATGAGTATTATTTTAGGGGCTGTAATGTGCAGTGAAAAAAATTGAAAACTGACAAAAGCTTGCAACCATAACGTTGTTGTTGTTGTTTGTTTGTTTGTTTGTTTGTTTTAGGTCTCCTGCTGGGACTAGAAAGCGACTTTGAACAAACAATAAGAGCAGTAAAAAGTGTTGTGGATGGAGTATAGGACACAAATTGTAACAAATTAAAATTAGTTAATGATAGAATTTAGAAATACAATTTATTACTTTTTACAACAAGCTTCTCAGGTCAAGATTTCTTTTGAGGTAAGCTGTCAACAATCAGTGAAAAAAAATTGCTTCGGTCATTTAAGGCACGTCAACAACTTTATTATTGAAGGCGCGTAAAGTCAAAGAAAGTTGGGCTAGACCACTTCATATAAATTCCAACTTGTTCTTCTCGAAGACTGTATGTTTTGTATGAACAGAGAACAAAAGGTTTTTCAATAAAATCAACTATTGAGATATCCCAGTCTTCTCTCCCACGAATCTTTGGTGCTGACTCATCATCAGTTCTGAGATTCTTCTGTAAACTATTTCCGTAGAGGCAACCGTTCGTTTCGATACAAATCGTTTGGATAAGAACTTAAGCAGTGAAATTGCACAAAAATTTCGATCACTTCAAGTAGAGTTTTCGCGTGAACAAGAAAACCATTTGGGTGAATATTCTTTGTTCTTTAAGCCAAGTACGTGAGACTATTTACAACTTGACTGAATAAACTTATATCGAAATAAGTTTGTATCAAAACGACCGGTAACTTCAACTGCAAGCAATTGCAATAAAATTAGGATGCAAATTTGGCAGCAAAGCGAAAAGTTGTGGGAGGTTGGGTGTCGCCTCCCAAGCAGACGTTCTTAGGGCTTGAATCGTCACGCTTTGTCTTTCTTCCATGTCACGGGGAATGAACTCGTGACGAAGCCCTAAGAACGTCTGCATAGGAAGCTAGGGTAGCTGTGAAAAAAACAGTCGGTACTAGGCCCACCCTCCAAAATCGATACACGGCACGCCCGGCCTCCAAAACACCCTGCCATATGCCACACTCGATATCTGTGCGCCATTGCATTTCATTTATATTTGTGGGTTTTAAGCCGTGAAAGACCATTGGCTAGCACGGCATCTCTTAGCCCTGTTTTTCTGTACGTTATCAGGAGGGCCATAACGGATCTTTTACAGCAAAGAGCCCAAAAGTGTGACCGCTTTTGATTTATTGACATTCTTTCGTACATATTTAATCCAATCAGAAGCCAGCTGGAAACTGTCCTCGATCTCTGATTGGTTAATGCCTGCACGAAAGAATGTGAGTTAATCAAAGGAGGTCACAGTTTGGGGCTCCCTGCTGTAATTGATCATGCCCAAACATGAGAAATACAAGCTGTAAGCGGAAAGGTTTCAGGGATTGTTTGGGAGAACAGTACAAACAATGATGTCGCCTCACTTTCATTCATTACGACGTAAGTTGATTTTTATTTCTTAGCTGCTGTTACAGAATCTCTTGAAAATCAAGCCTTTAATTTCTTGCTTCATTATCCCGTCTCGTATTGAATATATCAAAGGGTTGATACAGGAGTTACAGAGAGTGAGGACCAGCCCCCCACGGACAATCCAGGGAGGAACCGAACTGGGGTCGATTAGCTTCCAAACTGTTACCAGGGAGTAGAGAGCCCAGCACGCGGCAAATGATCCAACCAACAGTAGGACTGTCTTGAGGGCTTTGTTGTCTTCATCAGGTCCAGCATTACTTGCGTGTGTCTTCGTCATTGCGGCTTCTGCATTCTCTTCAGTCTCGTTTTTTAAGGGAATAAGGTTGTAGACATTCTTTCTTTTGGACGCTCTCGCTATGCGGTATATTCTGAAGTAAGCATAAACCATTGCTCCGACAGGTAAAGCAAAGGCAAAAATCGCCAGTGAAAGCATATAGCTTTTGTTGGCTAGCCCCTCCCCACCCCAGTTTGGTTTACAAGTGTGTGTAAACTCGTCCAACTTAGTGCTTCCCCATTTAAATAGAGGACCAATGGCCCAGAATACTGAATGTACCCAGCTTGCAGCTATGATGAGTTTGTAGTGCCGTTTAGTTACTGTCATCTCGGCCATTGTCTCTAGTGGTTTCGAGAGTGCGTTGTAGCGGTCCACGCTAATGATGGTCAGCGTCACTATAGAAGAATTCACTGAAAAGCTTATGAGTACGGCATATACCTGGCATAAGGTGTCTCCTAATGGCCAGTGGTGTAGCACAAACGCGGCTATGACCAGGGGTATACACAAGACGCCTAAAGAACGCAAAGGCTTTTAGTACAGTGTCGATGAACGATGACCATTATTTAAACCTCAAAAGTGTTGAATTAGTAAGACTTGCTCCTTATCGCAAAGGCTTTTTTGTAAATTATGCAAATTGCGCAGGACATGACATTAAAGCGCCGCTCCTGTGGACAGAAATGGAACAAAAACTGTTTTCCATTCTGATTCGTCACCAACTGCAGACTGAACGTATGAATGGTTAAATATTATAATATATAATAAACCCACTGACTATACAAGTAAAATTACAGTATACGTAGTTGACTGTGACTAACAAGTGTGATCAAGACCGTGAAAGGCCTAACTGTTTCATTGACCAATTTAACAACTATCTAACTTACTCAAACTCGGCTGAGTGGATGACTTCTTAAAATGCCGTATGTTTCAAATCACCAATAATTCCAGCTAGACCTTCTGACTTAAAGCCAAACCCCGCTCTACGGAGCCCCGCTTAAGACGAACACTTCTATATTACGGACAATTGGCTTTTTCCCTGGGGAAAGAAAGCCCTTGTATATTCCCTACTCAACCCTCTTAATGCGGACACCCCGTTGATATATACCAACACTTTCTTTGGCCCCCCTCAATTTCAGTAAAATAATAACGGGGTTTCAGTTGTGCTTAAGGTAATTCCATTAAAAAGGACATACAATTTTTTTCAAACTCTACGCTATTGAGAGCCATATATGGGACATAAAAATATTGCAATAAAAGTATGGGGTCACCTTACTTGTTTTCGTCCGTTAGTCTAAGACTGTTTTCCTATTTAACCGCGTGAAATGTTCGAAACATGAACAACCGTCAAAAACTCCGCTTATCGCATGGCAAAAACCAGAAGCTAATTAGGACGAAAACATTTAAGTAAGGTGACCCCATACTTTTATTGCAATATTTTTAATGTCCCATATATGGCTAATTGTTTCACTCCAATTCTAAGTTAAAAACTAAGAATCTTACGAAAACTAGAGTCCGTTTGTTTGTCTTTGCTACAATTTTTCAGTAAAATGTTTAGAAAAGTGGACAGTGTTAACCCTTGCATGTATCCTATACTTCCCTGTGGTTCTAAACGCGGAATTTCATGTCATTAATATCCAAGATAATTCAACTTCTTCAATTTATATTTGTTTCTCCTTAAGTAAGATATATTTTTCATGTAGCCATAAGGGGTAAATAAAAGGTGGCAGGGGTTACCTTACGCGTTCTCGGTTCATCGCAAACTGAAGACTGACGAATTAAAGCGACAATTTTGGCTTTAAATGATCATTTTGCGCGAATGGACTGGGATCAGTTTCACGACCAGCACCTTTTTAGCCGGAAAGAGTTACCATAATCGCTATCAAGGTCATTTTCACTTCAAAAGAGGCCTTTGCTACCTCTCTTCAGACGACCGGGAAAAATATCACCGCTACTTTTGAAGTCACAATGTTATGGGCAGTAGCTATACGTGATATGGTCTGTGCAAACTGACAAGGGAATCATAGCTTAAACATATTGGAGTAACCACAAGTGTTTTACACAATCGGAGACACTTACCTAATATCAAGTCAGATGCTGCCAAACTAAGGTAATAGAAATAGGTGGGACTGTGAAGTTTCTCTTTCATAACCACAGCAACAAGAACCATCACGTTACCAAGAATTGTGCCACAGCACGAGATGAGCAAGATTGTTACTTCCACCGCCACGTCTAGAAAACTTTCCTCTCTGTATGACTCCATCTATGACAACGGGCAAAACCAGGTAAAACTAAGATAAAAGAAAAAAAATAATGATAGTGTACTGTGAGAAAAACTGAATGTAGATGAAGCAGATAGGGATCAGGGATAACAGAGCGAATTTCACGCGCTCGAGCTTCGGTTCTTTGCTGACCAACTGAGTTAAATCCGAAATCGATTCATGGCTTTAGAATCCGGGATTCAGCTCCAAGAATCAGGAATCCCAGTAAGTAACGATGGGAACACCGTGCAAACCAGAATCCAAGACTGTCTTGGATTACCTCTAAGGGGCGATCATGCTTAGATTTGGTCAGACTATTATTTGGTTACATTTTCCTGATCTATGAACGTGAATTTTGGAGTTGAAGCTGATTTTCTTATTACGATATAGAGCCGAGGGAAAGCTTCTAAATTGGATTTTTACCCTGGAAAGCGCGTTCTTGGCTTCCTGCAGTTTCAACCATTACATATTACACAAAACTACAGAAGAAAATCAATCGCGCTCTAATTTGTTCTATCAATGACGTCTACAACAGCTTCATCAAATTCTAAGATCTAGTATGTTATATCTCCGGCGTTATGCCGTTGGTTCGAGTTGGTGGAACGGAGGTGTATTTTGCAAGAGTTCGCGGCTCCTGCCCAAGTTAACTGAACCAATTTGAATTGAAACAATGAAGGGCAACATCTACAACCTGACCTTGGGCTGTAAGAATGGGTAGATTATACATCTATCTGCGAGGAAAATCTTTACCTGAAACGTACGCCCCCAAAGTGATCTATCTTCAATAGGTGGGTACGTTTAACGCAAACTCAAGATAACGAACTGATTACGGACAAGAGCCTGGTAAAATCCCCGCGCTAACCGTTCAGATGTGTTGAAAGTCCAGAGACGCATGAATTAAGTCAGTGATCCTCGATCTCCCGCAGTCATTATGAAGTACTTTACCCTCGTATGAAATGTGACCTGAAACAGTAGAATTTCGAATTAAAAAATGTAACCATTTGCAGCTGCATGTTAAAAAGAAATATTTTCACACTTTCAAATCACGGTGATCATGGTGGTGTAAATTTCTGGCCATGGATTTTTATAACGTAAATGTTATGTCATAGCAACCGATGTACATGCGTTATTGTCAAGATGGTTGGATATAATGGCCAAGTTACGTTTTTTTGTGTGTTTTTATGAACCTAGACGAAGTCGAGGCCAATAAAAACGTAAGAACGAGGCCCGATATTCAGCCATGTTGGCCGAACAAGCTTGGTCAATAAAAGATCAATTTTATGGTCAAAACGAAATCAGGACAAAGCGGGAAAATCCCGAGAGGGAAAGAGAGGCCCATTTTGCCTGCTCGGGTAGCCAATCAGAACGCATTTGAAACTGGAATAGTTTTATTTTGAATGAACAATCCGCCTGACTTTACCCGTCAATTTCGACGGACAGTTTCAAGACGGGATTGTCCGTTCCAGATAGCCTGTGTACAGCCGCCCCCTCCCCTCAGAAAAAATCGGAGCGGGGGTGTCTGCGGGGAGGGCGCGACTGTACACAGGCTAGCCTCAGACGGATAATCCATCTCTAGCTCTAGCTTGAAAACGGCCAATAACAAAATTCCCGTGTCCAGTGTTTTTAATGATAGCGAAGGACTGTATGGAACGACTGTCTGCCGTTGCCTTGTCCGTAGGCCTCATTATTACGCGCGGCATATGCGTTTCGGGTCATCCTAGCGAGTTTGCCACCGCATTGCCTTGACCGAGATTGCGTGGGAAGACGCCGTACAGGGGCTAGGCATGGCAATGTCTACCGTGGCGTCAGAGAAAAACACGGAAATGTTGTTTATCGGCAACGTGTTTTACAAACAGTGACATCTCTGCGTGTTGTTTTAATAGTGTTTTGAGGGCACGACCTCATGAAAATCACAAGTATTAATCCCCAGCAAGAAGCCACACTTTCGCTATGGAAAAAAAATAATTAGTTCCCTGAGAGAGTGCCGGAAATGGAGCCTAGGTCTTGGTCAACACTTAAAAGGCGCTTCGCCTAACGTGCGTGCGGAGTCACACTAGCCGAGAAATAAAAAACGCAACGATAAGTGAGTTTAGCACCTCCCATAAAAGTAGCAAATCTAGGGAACAGTTTCTTTTACCGTTAACCTTTTTTTACTCTATTTACGGCTAACGCCTAACGGTTAAAATTTTTCCCTTTTTTTACAACTATCGACTAAATTTTTGACCGTTTTACGCCTATCGGTTAACCCCATTGAGACCCTCAATTTAAGGAGGCTTGATGGAATTAAGAATCCTATGAAGTCTCTGTTGCCCTGACGCTGCGTTTGTTCTTGAGTTCCACTAAGATCCCTTTTTTTTCACAATGAGAAGGCATGAGCAACAAACCATATGGCGTCTTCAGAAGCCATCTATCTAAGAAAGAATGAGCGGGCACTGGATACAAGATTGTAAAGCCGGGTGCGGAGGCGTGGGGCCCGTTTCTCGAAAGTCCCGATAATTAACGGGCCAGTAAAGCTGTTGTTGTTTACAGGCAAGATAGAGGTTTCAATAGGTTTGCATCTAACATGATAAAACTATCATTTAATGAAACAAAATGGAGTATTTTGCTAGCCAGGACCCGCGCTTTAATTCTTTTTATTTCGATTTGATTTCGAACCCGAAAAGTTATCGGGCCGGAGAAACGGGCCCCTGGTTCCTAGCTCCTCGCTTCGCCGCCACTGGCGCGTTATCTCCCGCGATGGACGGCCCGAAGAACAAGAGAAGGCTTCTCACAAGATCATTTTTCTCTGAGACACCATGCATATAACTTCACGAAATCCTAGAAAGCTGGAAGTCACTTGGGAAAACCGTCGCGTAAATTTTATGTAATCGGGAAAAAATTCAGGTAAATCTGTCACTCATAAAGCTGGAAAAGACCTAGACATGCGCCACAAATTATAAGTGTAAGACTTGCTATTTCGTACACAAGCAGGCCGAAAGCGCGATTAGATAGTTCTGTTTTTAAATGTTCAGTTATAGGTGATTTGTATACGAGGCACCATTAAGCACAATGAACTAAAACAGACATAGGGTTACCTTAATTAAACGTCTGCTTTCAGATGTATCCGGCTTGTGAAAACCGAGAACCTTGCAAGTAGTTTAAATTTTCTCCCGATGTTACTGATTAGTTTTTTTTCCACATCAGAAAGGAAAACAAGGTGAATAGATAACCAATATTGAAGGTGATCAGTGCCGGTTTGGGGCCAAGAAAACAGGAACGTCTGTTTAACTTTTGATTTTACGCATAAAATAATTTAATAACTTTGTATCTTTTGAAGGGCATTCTTGCGATTCAACTTCGCTGCCATGACAACCGGTTTATTGATAGTATAATTCTGCTGCTACTCCAAAAACACTAAATTGAAATCGTATTTGCGCTATAATGAGTTTTATATTAAATTTTTTGGCCTGAAGAAACCGACTCCAGACTTTACAAGCATATTGTACCTACCCTCTTACCCCTAGTGAGTGGAAATATGTCGAGTGGCACTCAACATAACTTCAACAAACATGAATACGTAATAAGAACAAAGTTGACGTGGGGCGTCAAACGACTTCAACATTTCGAGAAAAAAAAGGAAATGTTGAAACACTCTTGCCTAGTTTTTTAACTGACGAGGGTAGACTGTTCTGGAGAGCTGTACCGTTCGTCTGGGACTTCAATAACTAATAAGACATACTTAGGAGGAATCAAACACGAGATTTAATTCTGATTCATTATCTTATGTACAAATATTGACAGCATGTTTTCTTCTTTACATACACTTTCTTCCTTTTATTCAGTCCAACAAAAATAAAAAACAAACAACAAACAACAACGGCGTACTCATGCGTGGATTAGAGAGCGCCCTCAGGGAAGAGCCCAGCCTTTATCCAATTCAATTCTCAGGAAGATCTCTCTTCTAGAGCTTAAGGCTATGTTCACATTATACAGGATAACTTTTGCGCCTCCACGAAAATCATACCAGATAAGGCTTCTGTTCACACACAAATTTTAAAGTGGTTTTGGCGGCGCGATTTCTGTGGCGAAGAGAAAAAGCTGCCGCGCCGATATCTAAAGTGGAGAGTCACATATCGGATACGTGATCATACCATACCGGATGGCTTTTCGAGTCGGCACGAAAAACTATCTGGTAGAGTGTGACCATAGCCTTAATTTTTGGTCAACGACGCTTTCAGATTTCTTTAACGAGTAAATAAATATTACATATAAAACTGGTCAGTCTCCCGGTCCTCTCTTTCTGAATCCCTCCTACTGCTCATGATATTACACTATTATATCTTGAGAAAAGAGCCCACGTTTGTAATGAGTAGTGGCGCCGGGAAACTTCGGCGTTCATCTCAGGCTGACATTATTTTGGCTCCAAAAGTTTCATTCGCTGTTGTTAATATCAACAGCATATGATTTTCTGTTAAGCATACTCCCTGACTTTCATTCTGTTCAGCAAAGATTACAAAAAACAAAAGAAAAAACAAAAACAAAAACAAAACAAACGACATACGAGAGATGCTACATGTAATTCTAATAATGACTCCCTAATTATAAGGGATAGGCTTCTTAACACCACAGTCTAACTTGACTTTAAAATCCAATGTTGTAAAACAGAGACACAAGTTGCAAGAGCTTTGGTGTATAAAGTAAAGGGCTATCAGCTGTTAAATAGTCCTGGGAGAAAAACAACAAAACGGAAACAAGGAATATATCTAATAGGATAGTGAGAGCATTTTGCTTGAAATATTTCTGAACTTTTTGTCTCGATGCATTAGCATAGCGTACTTAAGTCATAAAAATTAACCCTGAGTATGTAAGTTTGTCTCAAACTGTCATGAATAGCTCAAAATATCGCTGTGCAGGAAAATACAGAGCACAATATTAGTTGGCTGAAACCAGAATGGTCGCTGCCAAAGAGATTTGATTCTCATTTTCACATTATGTGACTCTTAATAAACGCTAGTCTTCACTA